AAGTTGTCTGGCTTTCCTGCAGTGTAAAGAGGACTGGGCAGGCAAGGACAGCTTCACAAAGGAGAATTTCACTGGTTTTCCCTTGGCACTGCTCTTTCTTGGCCTTCCACGGACTCCAGGACAGCTCCTCTAGGATGAACTGCCGGCCCCTGACAACCTGCAGCCTAGAAAGCCAAGGGCTTTGACTTCTTTGCGTCACTGATAAAACTCTGCTGGCACTGCTCTGGTCTCTCCTGTGAAAACCAGGAAGATTGCAGTCACTTAGGCTCAAGATCTCAGTCACCGCTGAATTTTGTCATCTGCCATATTAAATCCCATTGGTAGCCCAGATATATGCCTTTTTTTTTTTTTTTTTTAATTTAAAGAAAAGGAAACGAAAAAAAAAATACATGGAGATTAAAGAAAAAAAGGGTAGAAAAATAATACTAAATTACAGACAAACAAAAGGTAAGAAATTGCCAGTTGATAAGTTACAAATTGTCTTCTTCGAAATGGCTGTTTAGGTTATAGAATTAAAGTATTTAGAATGACATTCAAAAAAGTGACCCTACAAACCATTCTGCTCTATGGCCGAACAAAAGCTCCGTAATATGATTATCAGTCCCACCTATTTGTTTTACATCTCTAAGAGGATAAGGTTAACCATATCAAAACAGAACAGAACATTTAAAAAAAAAAAAAAACAATTTAAAGAAATACAGATTTCAAAGCAAGTCCACTGGAGATCTACCTTATCTAACTGTCTCTAGCTTCTTACAGATAGTTGTCCCTAACTTCACCCACTTTCTATACTTATTACATATTATAGAACTAATCAAATCATTACAGGATGATGGAGTCTTTTTAGGTCCTCAAGTTCCAAATTAGGGAAGACATTTCCAACTACCATCGCATCTCTCATTCTCTTTGTGATAGCCGTCCCCATCTCTGCATATGCTGAAGTTGAGCTGAAGAAACCAGTCCAGAGTCATTTTAATCAGCAAGCAATAGATTGCTAGAATTTATATTATAATGCTACAAAATAAGCCTCGGGTTTTTCAGGTCTCTTCCTCAGAGTATTTGTTCCTATCCTCTCTGTATTATAGGGAAAACCAAGTCATAACAAGACAGCGAAACAATTTCCTAGATAAACATGCAATGGATAAGACTTACAAAACTATAATATAAATGATCTTCCGTAGCTACTATGTTTTCTCTTGTTATTTTCAATAGATTTGTCGACAACACTGGCTTATTATAGTTAAATTTACTATCACCTATTTTTATAAAAACTTATCTTTGACTGCATTGTAGTATTTGAGAGCTGTTACTGATTCATACCAGTATGGATATCCTTTACATCCTGTCATGCTCAGAGTAGTTTCCTCTACTTTTAGGGTTGATTCTAACACGCATACGGATTTCAAATAGGATCAGTCAAGGCCAACCAATAGTCTTATGATTCAGATACAATTAAGATCAGTCATAGTAAGACAATGTAAGTAATACAGGATTTCAGCTTAAGTCAATAGGTTCAGAGCTGTCTCTACCAAAGACTAGCTTACCGTCTCTGCCTCATGTCTGCTACTCCACTTTTCTGCTATAATTTGTCCACCTTATTCCCTCATTCCATGGTCTGCCCCGTACACTGAGGCCTCTCTGCCAGTGTAGCTGTAATCCTGATATTTCTTCCTCTCTTTCTCTGTAATGTCCTTCAGCGCTCTCTGTAGGGTTGGATTGGTGGCCACGAACTCCCACAGTTCCTCCTTGTCTTGAAAGTATCTTATTTCTTCATTAATTTTTAGAGAGAGTTTTGATGGATATATGAACTTAGGTTGCATATTTTTTTCCTTCAGGACTTGGAATATTTCTCCCCACTCCCTTCTTGACTTAAGAGTTTGTGTTGATAAGTCTGCAGTTATTTTGATAGATTTCCCGTTATAGGTAACCTGCATCTTTTCTCTGGCTGCTTTTAATATTCTGTTTTTTTGGTGGATTTCTGGGATCTCGATTATTATATGCCTAGGCGTAGATCTGTTTTGGTTGTAGGTAGCTGGCCTTCTGTATGCTTCTTTTATCTGGATATCATTTCTTTTTGCTATACATGGGAAATTTTGCTTTAATATCTCTGTGAATATTTTTTGTATTTCATTTTTGGATGTTCCTGCTTCCTCACTCACATTCTTTATTCTTAGGTTATGCATCTTTTTATCATCTTCCAGTTTTAGAATTGCTTCTTTCTGGTTCCTTGTTATTTTTAAGAGGCTTTTTCTTTCACGTTCATAAGCCCTAAATCTCTCTTCAAGTTTCAGAAGGTTGTCTTTAGTTTCTGTCAAGGCATTTTGCCAATATTCAATGGAGTTTTTAGTTTCTTGATTTTCTCTTTGGATCTGTTTCATGTATTCTAAGTTATGCTTAAATTCTTCAGATGCTTCTCTTTCTTTTCTGATTTCCTCAGTTCTTCCATCTGTGTTCTCTTGGTCAGGGCTTGTCATTTCTTTAATTAATCTCTTTATATCTTGCCTCACTTGGATCAGGAGTACATCTTTAAATTCCTCTATGAGATCATGTAAATACTTTTTAATTTCGGCTGATGCTGAGTCGAGCAATGGATGGTTACTGTGCTTGTTCTCTTCAGTGTTTAGTTCTCTTGGGTTTAATTTCTCCTGTTGAACAGCTGGAGATTTTTTTTTATTTTTATCTCTTGTCATGTTTCTGGTTTCTTTCAGACTGTCCTGGAGTTCTCTGGCCCTCTCCGAATTGCTTAGGGCCTTTCAGAAGCGTGCCGGCTTGAGTTTTTGCTGTCCTCCCCAATTTGCTGTTATCTGGGGTAGGCTGGGATGCAGGGGCGGTACAGTCTAGTCTCTAGCCTCTGTGTCAGTTAGTTCATAAATTAGGCTGTACTTTCTGGTTGTCACTGAGTTGTGACCATTCTGCATCCGCCCATTGGGCCCCTAGCAGAGGCCTGATCTAGCCCCAACAGCTCCTGCCAGTTCTCCCTGAATCAGAAGCAGCTGGGTAATGGCACAGGATTCTGCCCAGGTCCCAGCCGTTCTCTTCCAAACCTCTCTGTGATAGGAGCTCTAGAAAAGCAGATCTGCCCAAAACCAAGATGGCTCCCACTAAGTTCTCCGTGCGGAGCTGAAGCCAGCAAGCAATCAGACTCTGCCAGGACTCAAGATGTCTTCCACCAGCCCTCCCTACAGGGGGTCCTGGTGATGTCACCCAGCTGCGATTTCTGCCGCCAGGCTAATATGTCTGCACCAGATTCTGTGTTATTGATTTCCCCGTGGTGGCGGGCCAGCTGTTCTCTGGCCAAACCCAGCCGCTGCGGGGTTTTCTATACTCACCAGAGTCTGGTGCAAGTCCCCGCTCCGGGACCGCCACACACCAAGCCGTCCACTTTTCCCCACCTCGCGGCTCAGCGCTGACTGGTCAGATTTCTGTGCACCGTTTAGATTCGAAACGCCAGAGCTCTGTACATCTGCTCTGGTGCAGCGGTGCAGAACTGGTTGCCGCCTGGAGTCTCGATCTGGGTCTCAGTTTCCGCAGTCCCCAAAAGCAACTCAGCTTTTCGTGTTGGGTCCATGAGTCTGTTCATTGATTTAAGGGCGCGGGATTTGCAGCCTCCGGTCTCAGCACGACTTTAAATCCTCCAGCTGTACTGTCTTGGTTGATAAGGATCGCTATGGATTTGTCTGGTCCTCTCCATGCTGTCTTTTTTTTTTTTTTTTTTTTTTAGCTTTGAGTTTGAATTCTCTGGAGAGATTCTTCGCTCGATCCCCTAGCACGCCGCCATTTTCTCTCCTCAGATATATGCCTTTATCTAATTTGCATCTCTCCTGCCTTTTTTCCACCTTTTTCTGCACTAGTTCCTCATTACCTCTGTCCTAAGCAATTGGATTAGACTTACTTTTTCTCTCTCTGCTACAAGATATCTTTATCACTGATGTTTGATTATAACTTACAATTGCCACCTTTAGCAGAACAAAACAACCCAAATAGTTGTTTTGACTTTCCATCAACTAGGAAATTCGGTGAGGACTTCTGAGCTTGGTATCTGAGGGGATACATCATTTACACTTCCAGCTTTTGCTTATTTGTCTTTCTTTTACCTAGAAAGTTACTTCTGTTCACAAATTCCTACTAGTCTGAAACTCATGCATTTTATCAAGCTTAGTCTTAAACACATCTCTACTTGCTTCCACCCCAGTCAGATGAGGTTCTCCTGCTTTTACTTTATGGGAGACCATTTAGGGAAATGTTCTTAAACTGCTTGGCATCAAAGCCTTCCTTCTTTTGTTGGTAGCATTTAGAATCTTATTTTTGTACATTCTTCAGCACAGGTAGAGTTCCCTGGCCATAATAGATGCCAGACATAAAATAGTAGCATGAATCATCATGACTTTGGGTCTGCACAAATGTGAAGAATACATTCATTCATTTATTTCACTCAAGTTTTTTGTTGAGTGCTTGTACTATGTAAGGTCCTGTATTAAGGTCCCAAGGATACAGAGAGTAATATGATGCAGGACCTGCCAGTTCTTCAGGAACTCACAGTTACATGGAAGAAAAATCACATAAATAATCACATGGTGAAAAAGCACGATAGGTATGCTTTCAAAGTCCAGTGTGGGAGTGGTAGGTCCTTTCCCCTCCATTAGGATGGAGAGGTGGTGGGGAGGGGATTGAGCAATTTGAAAAGGGTTCCGATGGTCAGGGTTATCTCACTTGCATTTTCCATACTGAAGAGGAGTGGCAAGCTACATAAGGAGGTAAGGAAGGGCAGAGACAAGGTGGAAAAGTCCACGAATACTACATTCCTTGCTCTCAGATACCCAGTGCACAAAGCCAACAGGTCACCTAGTTATTATTTTCTGTCCCCAAGTGAAATATCCTAAATGACAAATCCTTTCCTCCTAGAAAAGAAAAAGAGAGAGGGATAAAGGAACCTCCCTCTGCGATTACTTTCACTTGAAAGTCATTCTTTTTTTTTTTTTTTTCTTTTTTACTGTTTGTAGAGAAAATCTGCAATTGCGGTGAGCTTCATAGCAGCATTCCTCTTCCTGCTGGTTGTGCGCCTTGTAAACGAAGTGAATTTCCCATTGCTACTAAACTGCTTTGGACAACCCGGAACAAAGTGGATACCGTTCTCCTATACATACAGGCGGCCCCTGCGAACTCACTATGGATACATCAATGTGAGGACACAAGAGGTAAGACCTCAGAGGGTCACCCAGGATTCAGAGGGTAGCCATGGTAACGGCTTTGCTTTAGGAACAAGATGGCTCCCAAATCACTGAATACTCTCTGTCCAGAGAGCTTCTTTGGGTCTCTGATAACACCTTCTTTTTTCTCATCTTAGACACTTACAGACACAGGTCTAGAGTCTGCTGCCCCTCCCACATCAAAGCATTGAATTCACTGGCTCCATATGGAGTCCAGGAAGCAATTACCTGTTTTCCTGGTAGTATGTTGCATACCATACTTATCTTTCCATTTAGAATTTCAGATCAGCACTTAGCAGCTGGGGAACTGGCTGGCTTTATTTTCTGTAGGTTGACTGGTTAGGGCCAGCTCTTTATGGAACTTTAGAAAGGCATTTGCACTCTTTTAAAACTCTGTAATCCTTAGACCTGGAGCTAGAAAAGACCAAGCTGATTTTCAAATCGCAGTGGCTGCAGAGATAATGGGATTTAAAGGGTTTCCAAATTTAAAGGGGTTAAAATCATTTAAATCCCATAATCACTGAACCTTTTAATCTTTGTAGCCAATTGGTGGCTCGAGAGAGGGTGGTGGTGAATTGACAACTAAAAAGTGCATGCTGTGCCAGCACTTTTGCTAGCAAGCGTCTCATGAAGTACACTAAAAAATAATGTACCTTGCAATATGTGTGAAGTATGTAGAACTAGGTAATAAAATTGTTTTGAGTATCTGTTTCTATGGTGTAGGATAAATGTGAGGCTTAATATCCACAGACACAAAGCTTGCAATTGCTGGTGAGAAAGGTGCATATCACCATGTCACTGGGAAGATTGCATTGAAAGGTCATTTTATAAAAATGCTAGAGAGGCAGGGCTGGGGACATAGTTGGATGGCAGAACTTGCCTAGCGTGCCCAAGGCCCTTATTCCATTCCCAGAATACAGGAAAGATATTGAAGAGAAAGGGGGGAAGGGAGAAGGAAAGGACAGAAGGAGGAGAGTCCTACACAGAACCCTGCACAGAACTCTATCGTTGTTCTGAGAGTTGTTCTTAGCATTCTGGGCAAGTCATTCCTGTGTCTTTGTTTCTGGTTAATTTTATTATTTGAAAATTGTTTTAATATCTGCAGGATTTACAGGCTTTTTACTAAACCTTCAAACTTGGAGGGGGAGAACCATTAACATATAAATTCTTAGGAGGTTTGCTTGATGTTTATCCTTTAATTGAATTTAAGTTAATTTTTAAAGTGTCTATTGTTTGAATTTGTTGCATGTCGTAATAAATTGATTACCAATATAAAGTCGTATCTCTTAGAGAATAGTTTGCATCACTCTCATCTTTTATTACTTTTATTTCTGGCTGTCATTTAATAGTCTTTAGCTCTACAGTAGAGTGCTAACCATTTCATGTGTACTTGGCACAGGCTGAAAATGAAACATGTGACTAAGATGTACCCACAAATTACTCCCACAAAGGAATCCTTCCAAATGTCAAAGATTCTTTCATTTTTTTAAATATTTGTGGCCTGGATTTTGGAGTGTTAAAGGAAAAATTGGCCTCGGGATGCCATGATTTAATTAGTCATATTAAGTAAGCAATCACCGAATTTCTCTTGATACAGTTTTTGGTAGCAATAATTACCAAAGAACTAAGAACTTTATTTTGCCCCTGCACACACTGTTTTTGGGAGGAAACGTGATTCCTGGAAATATTTCAAGGCTTAGAAACACACAAATATGATTTGAGTTCCAGTTTTGTTGCTTCATTATACTTAAAGGGAAGTGTTTATTTTGGAGTAAATTTTATAACATCTCAGTCTCCATTTCCTTATTTGCAAAGCACAGGCAACAGCATCAGACTCAGTAATTACTAGGAAGCTTAAGTAGGACCAAGTGCATGAGGGGTAAAGCTCTATATTGATTCTCAGTGATTAATTTCTTTTGCTGTCCCAACACTTACCAGTATGACATTAAACACTCAGTAAGTACTAGAACACAAAAGATCAAGTGATAGAATTTCTATTTAAATTTTCAAGATCCTGGACTCAAAGTAATAAACATACAAAGAGCTTCCCAAAGCCACTAGTAATCAGGCTTTGATAAATTAAGCCTCAAAGTGGAAAAACTTTTAAAAGCACAAAGATATATCTCTATACTCTGTTCCAGAATGACAAGAACTAAGAAGTCTGGCAATACCAAGTGTTGGGGAGGATGTGGAATAATAAGAATTCCTATTTAGTACTGCTGGGAATAGAAACTGGAACAACTATTTTGACAAACCAAACTATTCCATGTTATGGAACTTTGCATATGTGACTCAGCAGCATTCCTGTCCTTGAGAACTCTCTACCTTAGAGACACTCGCAAACTCATGCATCAGGAAACAGTACAGCACCACTGTTGATAAAAACCAGGACCTAGAATACACACAGTGTTATGGATTAGATCTAAAATATCCAACGCAATTCTCCTGTGTGTGCAAGGTGATTGGATCATGGCAGAGCTACAGACATTAGTGGATTTACCCTTTGACAGATTTGTAACGGAATGTACTGCTGGCGGCAGGGCCTGGGCTGAGGTGGTCCTGCCCTCTCTCTGTATCCTATCTGCTGTGGGTTGAACAATTTTCCTCCACCCAGCCCTTTCAACACTCTTTCTGCCTTGGAGCCAGCTGACTGTAGACTAAATCATCTGAACACAGTGAGCCAATGTAAACCTCTACTCCTTTTAGTCTTGTTGCTATTGGGTACTTTCTCCCAGTGATAGAAAAGTGATTAATACACTCAAATATCTATTAGGAGGACAATGGATTGAAACTATGCTATCTACATACCCTGGAATGCCAGACAATGCAAACAACAACTACAGTGGTATGTGACAGCCTGGAGGGTGAAATTAGGCACACAGCTTAATCCCACATACAACTCACAGGAAGAGGAAAAACTGAAGGATGTTGCCTAGGAATTTAAGAGCATTTAGGTATCTCCACATCTGTCTATCTATCTATCAATCAATCATCTATCTATATTTTTAAAAAGCCAAGAGATTGCTCAGTTTAGAAGAAAAAAGCTGAAAGACTCATTGCAGAAGTGGGAGTAACAGTTACCTCTGAGAAGAGTGTGAGCTTTGTGATCAGCATGGCTTTCTGGAAGGTCCGCAGTTTGCAGTCTCTTGATCCTGTTGAGATTTGAGATTCCATAGGTGTTCACATTCTAATCACTTATGCAGTATAAGTGTATGTTTTCTGTATTTTTATGTCAGTATTACAATGAAAGAATAAAAATGTATTGAGTCCAGGAAGGATGCTTATTAATCACGTATTGTGGATCAGTTATTACACAAAATATTTCATCTAATTTAACAGCAAGAAGTAAGTAAAAGGGAAAATAGAATATTAACCTATCCCAAACAATCAAAAGTATTGAAATAGGTAATTTTATTTCACATGAAGTATAACATATATAGGGCACTTATTCCTCTAGTTTTGGTCTCTGCAGGATAGAATGGTGACTCCCATGTTAATACTTCAATACAAATGACAAACAGAAAATTTTGCATGGAAGTTAAAAAACAACATATGAACACTCAAGAGAATGACAGATTTCCTCCTGAACCCAAACAGTTTTTGGCTAAGTTGGAAAGAAAGCAAAAGTTGGTAACTTTCTACTTCTTTCCTCACTGATTTAATCTCTGCCTCTGAAATCTCCACCTACCTCTTGCCTTGTCAATGCTCCATTCTCACAAATGATTATGCATTGGTCCTTTCCCATAGTGGCCTCATGTGCAATACTAAGAGCAAGAGTAATATAACAAAAATGGTAGGTGATGAATTGATTGTTGTGGGGCAAAGAGCTTCAGCAGTGACCTTCCAGACATGCTTCTGCAAGGGTAAGATAAGGGACAATCTCTTTCCACCCATCATATATGGTTATCGTCAACATCCTACAACATTTGTGGTAAGGTTAGATGCAGCATGGACAGCCATGTAGCAATATGATTGCACAAAAAGGGCATGATCTCATCATAACACATCAAGGAAGGGAAAATTGATGACTATTTTTCAGATTTTTCCTGTCACTTTAGTTGTAGCATTTCTTTCTCCTAAGTGTAAGGAAGGAATTTTTCTGAAAGGAGAGGCGGGGCTTACGGTCTAAAATTAGACAAGGCAGATCAGAGAATATCTCTATAGCTAACTCTTACACAGATAGATGGGGAAAGTTAAAGTAATATTTTTAGTTTTTATGGCTGGCTTTAGGAAAGAAATGCTCTGATTTCTATGACCTAGAGAAGAGAAACTCTAATTTCTGTAACTTACTTCAAGGGAGAATCACAAGAGAGAGATAGAAGGCAGGAAGTTAGAGAAGCCTTCACTGTGGGGTGCCATTTTCTGAGCCCCAAATCTCATGCCTCTGCTCACTTTTTTCTGGTTCAGAGAATTGTCCATAGCTTGGTTGAATGGAGTTAGAGGGTCACATTAATCTACTTACTTCAAGACCATGATCCTTAAGGTCTTCTCAGAGGTTTCTTTTGCCTAACGTGTGTACTTAGTGGTTTTCTAGAAAACACTAAACTTTCTAGGGTTTTTTCTTCTTAAATATACATAAGCATGCCATCCGTCATTCCCAGAACTGGGCCATCTGCAAGCATGATCATTACTGATGGTGGCCTTATTGTGCAAAGCTTCAGGTAGCAGACATTGCTGTGGCTGGACACTGACTTTTATGAGCCAAAATGATTGCAAGTGAGAATGTCTCTTCAGTACTGTCTAAAACAAGGCAAAATGAGAAGCAGCAGAATCAGGTCAGAGATTTAGTGGATGTAATAGAAACTAGACCTCCTTAGAACCCAAATCACATTTTTTGTTTGTCTTTTAAAAGTCAGATGAGTTCTGATAACTTTGGATTGGCCCAGCTGGAGAAGAGGGAGTGTTATGCTTCTAGAACTCTTTGTCCTGGAGACATCACATACAGCAAGTCATTTTCAATTCAGAGGCCTTTTTAATCATCAATTTAT